CTCCCGGAACTCGGCAGAAAATCCTACTCGGCGGGCGGGGTGGGGGAAGCACTGCGGAGTGGTGGGGGGCGGCCCGAGGGGCTGGAAGAAGGTCATAAAAATTCTAAATAAACCAAATTCAATTAATGAAACTGAAGATATAATTTAAACCTACCAAAATAGAAATGCCTAGGTTCAGATGGATTAAGTGCTGAATTCTATAAGAAATTCAGAGAAGACTTAATGCTGACACTTTTCAAATTTTTAATGAAACTGAAAAGGAACCAATACTATCAAATTCATTCCTAGAAGCAAGCATTACCCTGATCCAACCAAAAAGTAGTTGGTTGGATCAGGGTAATCTCCATGATGAACACAGATGCAAAAAAGCTCAGTAAGATACTGGAAAACAGAATGCAAGCACTCATCAAAAAGATTATATATTATAACAAAGTAGGATTGATCACAGGAATGTTGGGATAGTTCAACATATACAAATCAAAAAATGTAACATATCATATTAACAAAGCCAAGGACAAAAAGCATATGAACATCTCAATAAATGCAGAAAAAGCATTTGACAAAGTCTAAGACTCATTCATGACAAAAACTACACAAAAAATGAGAACAAAAGGTCTCTAACTCAATCTGATAAAAACTATCTGTGACAAACCAACAGGCAATGAACAAAAACAGAAAGCTTTTATCCCCAAATCAGAAACAAGACAAGGATGTCTACTGTCAACTCTCTTATTCAACATAGTTCTAGAAATACTACCTAAAGCAAACAGATAAGAGAAGGAAATAAATGGAATAAAGCTAGGAAAGGAAGAAGTTACATTATCATTATTTGCTAATGACACGATGCTCTATATAGAAGACACAAAAAAAGACACCAAAAGACATCTAGATTTAATAACCAAGTTTAGTAGCATAACTGGATACAAAGTAAGCACTCAAAAATCAATCGCATTCCTGTACATGAATAACAAACTCACTGAGAGAAAAATCAGGGAATGATACCCTTCACAACAGCTTCCAAAAAATGAAATACTTAATCAATCTAGTGAAGAAAGTGAATGACCTTTCCATTGAAAACTACAGCATTCTGGGAAAGGAAATTAAAGAGGATACAGAAAAATGGAAAGATATCCCTTATTCTTGGGTAGGGAGAACCAAAATAGTGAAAAGGGCCATACTTCCAAAATTCTTACACAGATTTAATCAAATCTTGATAAAAATACCAATAGCGTTATCTCACAGAATTAGAAAAAGCAACCCTAAAATCCATTTGGAACAAGAAGAGACCTCGAATAGATAAAGGAATTCTGGGCAACAACAGTTAAGCAGAGAGAATCACAACCTTTGACTTGAAATTATACTACAAAGCTACAGTGGTAAAAACAACACGGTACTGGCACAGCCAAGGATCTATGGCTTAATTCAGAAGATGCAGAAACAACTCCAGACATACTTAGCCACTCTATGTTTGAGAAAGGAGCCAAACACCTTCATTGGAAGAAAGATAGCTTTTTTTTAATAAATGGTGCTAGAAAAACTGGCTTTCCTCCTCCAAAAGATTAAAACTAGAACCCTATCTTTTAGAATGCAATAAACTGAAATCTAAATGGGTGAAATACTTAAGTATTAAAACATAAACACTAAATCTGCTGGAAGATAGAATACGTAGAACTCCTGAAGACACTGGTGAAAGCAAAAACTTTATAAAAACCCTGATCATGCAGGAAATATGACAAAAAAAATCAACAACTGAGATCTCATCTTATTAAAAAGCTTTTGCCTGGCAAAATAACTACCAACAGACTGAAGACAACCCACAATGTGGGAAAAAAAATTGCCAGCTTAGGGGCTGGGGAAATGGCTCAGTAGAATAAGCGCTTCCCTGGCAAGTACAAGGGCCTGAGTTCAATTCCCGGTTCTGCAGGGGGGAAAAAAAATTGCCAGCTGTTCCTTAGACAAAAGAATAATATCTAGAATATATAAAGAACTCAAAAAAAATCAGACTTCCCAAATTTAAAGACCCAACCCATAAATGGGCATTTTAAATGGATAGAAATCTCTCAGATGAAGAAGTAGAAACAGCAAATAAACATACGAAAAACATCCATATCAGTCATCATTTGAGAGATGCAAATTAAAACAATACTGAAATTATATCTCACTACAGAAAGAATGGCTACCATCAAGAAGTCAATCAAGGGCCGGGGAGATGGCTCAGTAGAATAAGTGTTTCCCTGTCAAGCACAAGAGCCTGAGTTCAATCCCTGGTTCCACAAAAAAAAA